CATCTGTGCACGTATGTTTAAGTGGTGGCCCAAATCCAAAGAATTCAGTGTTTATCTCAGGTAAGATCTAGAAAACTGAGATCAGCTCAATTTAAACTGCTGCAGTTGATTTATCACTAAAAAAAAAACCCACTCACACCAAATACACTGCAAAACAGGAGAGTTTAACCAAGTTTGTTCTGGAGCTGCTGGGGAGCTGTGACCCCAGTTCAAACGCCGCTGACAGGCCGTTCTCATGCAGCGTCGGTAGATATGCCTACGAAAATGAATGTGCTGTAATTTGTAGGTAACCCACAAAATCAGTTCTTATATAATCCACGTATTCATGAACCAGGAAGTATAAAGACTGCAGAAACTCACACAGGACAGGTGGGTAGGGAGGTGGATGTGAAAATCATTTTGAAGCGCAAAGGCAACATTTATTTATTCGTCACGTAACTTCCGTACTTAAGTATCGTCACTTCCTTAGTAATTGCAAACAATCTTTTCCTAAAGCTAAACACATCATTTTATTGCCTAACCCGAACTACGTTGTTTCCTGTGAAGACGGAAGTTTTATTTTGAAAAGACTGTATGCATATAACGAGTGTAAATTACTACTGGATTTTCGTTACACATCCTAAGAATCATTGAAGACACGTTGTTGTGTCACACTCAGAGACACTGAGCGCAGAAACCTCTCCTGTTTAAAAAAGAAACCTTTTGTCTAACCCGGTCGTCCCACTGAGATCCAGATCTGTTATTTAAGAGACACCTGAGAACAAACACACGACCGGAGAAAAGGCTGCATGCAGGCCAGTGTCCTGTTTCAGCAGGGACATAATGCAGAATACATGAAGCTAATATGGGTTAATGGCTAAAGAAAGGCTGATTTTATTGTAAAAAAGTCAGAGCCTGAAACTAGAAGAGCGGAGGCTGTTGTGGCAGCAGATTAATGCCCACAGTGTATGAAACCAGATTGTTTTCTTTCCCTCCAAAGGAATGTGAATCCCACCTGTAGCCCCTGAAGCCCATCCTCTTTCTCTTTCTTCCCTCTCCTTTCTCCTCTCTCACCTTCACTCTCCCTCCTCCTCTTCCTCCATCTCCCCCCCCCCCCTCCCGTTTCCTATACTCTCACCTCCTTCTCCTCGTCTCTTTTATTTTGAAAAGCCCCCATGGTGGTCAGATTTCAGCGGAGCTCACTGGCTATAACTGCGGAGCGGAGTAGAAAGTTTATGGAAGAGAAAAGTGTGTTTCCATGGACTTGTACGCATGTGTGTATGTGTACATGAATGTTTGTATGTGTGTGTGTGTGTGTGTGTGTGATAGAGGCCCTCTGTTAAACTAACAGAGGCCCAGGTGGTCTCTGGGCCCTCTTTTGTCTCTCCTCTCTGCCTCCTGCAGGCATGCATGCGGGACCACCGCAGAAACAAAAAGACACATTTCAATGTGACTTCAGAGCAGTTTTGTGTGCAGGGAGAGTGAACTCCCCTCACACCCGTTCTGTTGTCGGTACTTTAGAGGTTCTGGAGCGGCATGTCCTCGTCTCAAAACTCCTCTCTCTGTCTCTTTGTCGTTGGGCTTTACTCTCACTGCAGGTGACGCTAGCGATGCCATACGTAGTTTGCTAATAAGATTAAGCTAATAAATAAAAGCTAATCACTGAGCTAACTGTTGCTAAGCTGCAAATGTATTTTCAAGGTTTTAGAACTTCTTGTATTGCTGCTCAGGAAAGACTATTTGTTTACAAATGTTGATTCATTTTTTAATTAACGAATACATACATATGTAAAAGGAACTTGAGTTAACTCGGCTGTTCGCACCAAAACCACTTCTTTATTCTCACATGCTGCTCACAGTCACTTACAGTCAGGAGGGAAAAAAGGAAAAACACAAGCCGACTTGAAAGCACCACCACTGTCCAGCATTACTTTTCCCTCAACATATTCTTTATGCAAAATAGTTGCACATGTGTGCACTGTAATTTTATGTATGTGTGCGTGTGTGTGCGTGTGTGTGTGTGTGTGTGTGTGCAAGTGTGTGCAAAGGTCCCTACATCAGCCAATCTGCTTCCAGAGCATGTCTTCTTCCTCTCTGGTTGTTTTGCAGAAGGAAGGATTGCTTGGCTGCAATGCATCAACATGTCCGACAGCTGTGGGACAGATCTGCAGCTGTGTGTGTGTGTGAGTGTGTGTGTGTGTGTGTGTGTGTGTGTGTGTGCGAGTGTGTGTGTGTGTGTGTGTGTGTGAGTGTGTGTGTGTATTGGGGTCGTCTGTTGGCAGGAAGCAGTAGGCAGCGAGTGATGTGGTCAGACCCTCTGTCACCAGAAACAGAGAGAGAGAGAGAGAGAGAGGGACAGGGAGAGAGAAAGAGAGAGAGGGAGAGGGAGGGAGGTACCTTGTCTCTCTCTCTCTCTCTCTCTCTCTCTCTCTCTCTCTCTCTCTCCCTCTCTTCTTCTTCTTCTCTCCTTCCTGTTGCTTGATTTCTTTTCCTGATCATCGTTCTTCATTAGAGGAAGAAGAAAGAACACAAACAGACGGAGACTCATTTGGCTCTCTGAAGGCTGATGATTGTTGATCAGGATATGATTTCAGACACGTTACTAAAATGCAACGTTTCTCCCTAAATTGAATCTCGTGAGTTTGATCCCATGCTTTTTATCAGCAGCAGTGTGATGATGTACTTTTACTTTTGGTTTTGGAGGACAGAATCGTTCATGTCTTCAAGTATTGCCAGCTGTAATTTCTCAGAAAACTGGATCGTGTTTTGGAAATAAACTTAATTTAAATTTAAAAAAAATAAATAATATTATTTGTATCAATCCAATCAAGATGTGTCATTAGAATCAGGTGAGGTGAAGAGGTCTCCATGTCTGCTAATGCACTTTAGAAGAACCTTTAGTCAATATGTCAAACAGATTAAACAGACAAGAGTCTGAGAAAGACTTGATGTTGTTTTTCCTTTTTTAGATACGATTTCTAGGGTTGATTTTGTTACTTCTTTTGTTGTCTTTCATTTCCACATTTCATTTCTCATTTTTAAACAACTTTTTCTGCAGATATTGCGTTAGATTCCTGACACTTCTATGTGTCGTATATCATCTAATATGAAAAAAAGCATCAAAGTAAAATGAAACAGCAACTTTTCCCTGATTTTGATTTATTTTGTAAAGGAGCGATCGAGAGAATAACAATAGTGAGAAAAGAGATGGAAAAATCTGGAGAAAGAGAGAGAGAGAGAGAGAGCGAAAGAGAGAGAGAGAGAGGTCAGTGTGGAAAATCACTTTTTGTAAATAGTGTGGAAATCAAAGAGACGGGGGAGAAAGAGGGAGGTGAGTGAGTAGGAGGCAAATTGAGGGAGTCGGGGGGCAATTAGATGGGAATTTCCAGTGTTAGTGAGCGAGTGAGCTTTTGTTATAACAGGGAGAGTGAGAGCTGTTTCATGCATGTGTTGACTTTATACCTGTTATAGCACATTTGTTTTATTATGACATTATAATATATGCTTATTGGAACTGAGGGAGTGAGAGAAAGGTGTTTCCTCTTGGCTGTCGGATCTTCATCCATGCAAACTGATAAGTATCCAGCAAAAGGGTCTTCTCATTCCCTCTGTCTGATATTTAACACTAAGCAGCACAATTATCTTCCTAACAAATGATGAAATTGGTGGATTCATAAGCAGCTCGTCATGTTTTGACAGTTTCTTTCCTCGTGATGTACGTTCAGTGCCAGAGTTCAGGAAGTGGAAGGGTCTGCGATTGATGCTCTCCTCTTTATTAAACGTGATCTCTCCCTCCTTCCGTTGCCTGTAACTTAGTTTTTCACCACAAATTTTCTCTTCGACACAATGTGGTTTTGCAGAATCGTCAGTGGAAGGAGGAGGCGGTCCTGTCATGGCAGCATAAAGAGGAAACGCTCACCTGACAGCATTTTCTTAATGACTAAAAAAGTCACTTTGACAGACAGTTGATGTAAGAAACGGTTTGTGTTGTGATGAGAACTTTAAGAGAGGAAGATCCTCCTCTCTCTTTTTCTTAAATCACCAGATTGTGATCACATTTATCTCTTTGTTCCTTTCTGCTTTCTCCTCACAAACACACAAACGTGGATACATTTAAATTAGAAAACTGGCAATTCAGTCACTTAAAAAAGAGAGAGGGACGAAGAGGGAGAGCATATAGACGATCATCTATTTTCATAATTTAACTGCAATGTTTTCATATTATATATATATTCTTTTAAGTGAAGTAAAGTTAAACTTTTGCCTCCTTATTTGTATTAATATGTTTAATTACGATGTTGCACTGCTTTGTTCACACTTTTCTGTATTCTTGTAGATCTTTACTTACAGCAAGAGAGAGTGAGAGAGAGAGAGAGAGAGAGAGAGAGAGAGAGAGAGAGAGAGAGAGAGAGAGAGAGAGAGAAGTTTTAAGGAAACAAGGGCAGACCAGTCCTGCCCCCTAGAGGCAGTGTGTGTGTGCGTGTGCGTGTGCGTGTGCGTGCGTGTGTGCGTGTGTGTGTGTTGAGGGGGGAGCATTGAGTCACTGTCACAGGATGTCCCTCTCTTCCCCAGGAAAACACACACACACACACATGTTGTTTACCCTTTTGAAGCTGCTAACAGACATTTCCCACGTACACACACACACACACACACACACACACACAGACACACCAGCATCATCATCATTGAAAGAAAACTTTATTTTGATGCAGAAAAAGTTCTGTTGTCGATGTGTGTGTGTGTGTGTGTGTGTGTAGCTCATGGCCTCAGGTGAAAGCTTCCGCTGCTTCTTCCCCGTTAAGAAAAGTGCGCGTGTGTATGCGTGTGTGTGTGTGTGTGTGTGTGTGTGTGTGCGCGTGTGTGTGTGTGTGTGAGAGAGAGCGAGAGAGGGAAGGTGGGGGCGTGAGCTGGGCGGAGCCAGGAGGAGGGGGTTGCCCTACGGACTATCGGGGGCGTGGCTTAGAGAGAGAGCTTAGTCAGATGGACGTCTGCATTGTGAGGCATTTGAACACAGGACACCGAGTGGATCACACACACTTTAACCCGCACACACACACACACACACACACACACACACACTGGTGGAGTATCAGCGCTCGGAGCGGGACGGACTGCACCTGTCCGACACACACTCTCTATCCTCAGACACACACACAGAGGAGCTGACCGGTCGTCCCTATGTGTGGATGGGACCAAAGTTACACGGTGAGTACGGAGCAGCTCGAGACACCCGCTGACCTTTTAACATTTACACCAAAAAGAACTCCTGAGGGACTTTTATATATATATATATATATATATTTAAAAATAAATACATTTGAGCTCCTTTTGTGTTTGTTTTTTACTTTTATGTTAATTGTATGTTAAACTTTCCGGATTATGAGGACAGTATAATTAAGTAGAATTTTAAATGGCTTCTTGACTCAAACGTGTATTTACTTTTTAAGGTTGTTTTGAATCCGATTTTCGTCTTTTTGGTGCTTGTTTCTCGGTTTTTTTATTTCTGACTTGGTCAGAATGTTTTATTTTATTTGAATGCTGCTGGTGTCTTCTTTTTCTTTTTCTTTTTCTTTTTCTTTTTCTTTGCACTTTATGTGGATTTAGCTCAGCGTGTGTAACCGCTGCTTGAGGTGTTTCTCTTTGAGTGAGTTGGAAGCTGTTTGTTCTGCACCTCAGTTTGGGACTTTAGTTTTTGTTGCACACTTTAAGGAGTTTACATTTGGTTTTTAATGAAGACAGATGGACTCAGATGGACATTAGTGTCTTTTTTTTTTGTGACCTCAATTTGACTTTTTCTCCTCTTGGATATAAATGAGTGTGATTTCTCATTGCTGTTGAGTTTTGTTGCCCCGATAGTTGCTCAAGCAGCTCACAGAGTTTCATCTTGACTCAACTTATTAAATTGTTCCTTCGTTTGAAATTCCTCTGGCTGATGTGCACACTCAGCTTTTTTTGTGCTTTTCAGTTGGTCGACAATATGCGAGAGGTGAATTGTTTCTGTTTTTGGTTTCACTATTAGTTTTGGATGTTGCAGCTGTTATGCAAAGAGTTCAGCTGAGAGCTGAAATATTGAGAAACATTTCCATTTTATGATCAGCTTTTTTGGATGTGCTTTATTTAAATAGCAACTTTAAAGCAGAGCAGAAACTGTTGCATTGTGTGTGTGTGTGTGTGGGGGGGGGGGGGGGGTGCAGCTCTTGGGAGAAATTACATTTTATTGCTGGAAATGTTTTTACAATTCTAATGATTGAATTCATTTGAATGATTTGCTCCGGTTTGAGCAGTTTTACTGTTAAAGTAAAGGATGTTTGAAGCAGCTTTTTTCTTCTTCTAATAATTCAGATTTTAAGAGCATTTTTCTGCAAGTTTAGAACGAAAGAAAGTCAGCTGCGTGTTTTGCAAGACCTCAAAAAAAACATCAAAATCAGAAGAGATGATGACTTATTAAATTCAATGTGTGGTTTCTGTTTTTATTTTTTAAAATCACTCGTCAGTAAAAAGAGGAGATGTGAGTTCATCTCTTTGTGTCATTTCTTGCTAATACTTAGTTTTGTTTTTTTGTTGGGGGGGGGGGTGAGAGTGGTTAGCTCTGTGACTGGAGACAGTTGGATGTGAAATCATTTTCTTTCTTGCGGCTGCAGAAGAATTCACAGTGTGGTCTCTGTTGATCTGCTGCTTTTCTGCTCGCCTGCGTGGGATGAGCTGCATGTTTTTCCCTGAGTGGATATCTGTGTGTGTGTGTGTGTGTGTGTCTTGGGTGGGATCTCGTTTGAAGTTTTGTTTGCGCTGCTGTGGCCCCCCAAATGGAAATGCTTTGGCGCTCCCTTCCTCATGACCCCCACCCCCCCCACCCCACCCTCCATGTCCATTACCCACACACACACACACACACACACACACACACACGCTGGGAGTCGGGATGATTTGCCGGTTCCGCTGCAGCGCCACTCTGCTTCCAATTTTAGCTTCATTCAGACACAGACAGCATTTCCTTCCTCTGTCTTCAACCCCAGGAAGAGTCGGGAGGAGGAAGAGGAGAGGGAGGGGGGGTTTAGGTTCATAATCCTCTCTCACACAAACTGATAACTGAGTTACACTTTCTGGAGAAAAAAAAGTCGTAAACACTCCAAAGGGAATGTGAGAAGTTAATTTGCTTTCACTGAGAGAGAGAGAGAGAGTCTGAACAATTATCCAACGTCTACAAACAGGTTTCATTTACGGGAACATGTGGATTTAAAGGAAAATATTCACCAGCTGACGTTCGTTGTTGATGTCTGAAAGCATCAGGATTCATTTTATTCTTTTATTTTAAAAGCCATTCGTTAGAAAATCTCTGAATTCTTAATGGACACAGAACACTTTTATACGAGACACGAGTCGAGTTCAGAGTCTCCAATCTCAGAGTGACTCATTCTCAATCAGACTTTGTGGTTTTATGGACAGAAAAAAAGAAAAGACGAATGAGAAATCACTTAAATTCATTTTCCGAGCAGGGAAACATAATTTCTCATTGCGTCTGATGATAATCATCAAACAAATGAATAACATAAAGAGTAAAAAGGCTGGGTTCTGGTAGTTGTTGCCGGGCAAATGACCACAATATGTTCATCATTTTGTTGAAGTGATTATTTGTTGTGAATGAATGCAGGTTTTTATTACCTGATTGTTTCCCAAATTAGTTTTTTGTAAATAGTAGACAGGACAAACTGCTTCCCGTCCGTTTCCAAGTGTGTGTGTGTGTGTGTGTGTGTGTGTGTGTGAGACGGCAGCATTAATCAGACCCCCCCTCCCCCACTGAGTCACCCCACATAATAATCAGAGCTCTTCCTCTCTTCTTGCTCTCCTTCTTCATCAGCTTTTATCACCTTTTGTCCTTTTCCTTTTCTTTCCTCTTTTTCTTTCTGGTCTTTTCCTCCCACATCTACTTTTCTTTTCTTACCTGACTTATCTTTTTTCCCACTTAGTCCTCTGTCATTGCTTTTGTCTTTGTCATCCTCTCTGTCTCTCTCCTGTCCTTCCTTTCCCCCCTTTCTCTTCTCAGCTTTACCTTTCTTTTTTCTTTCTTTGCCTCAGTTTGTTCTTCTTCCTTCCTTCTTTCTCTCTCCTTATTTTCCTTCTTCCCTCAGATCTCTCTTCCTCCATCCTCAGTCTTTCTGCATGTTTACATAAAGGAGATAAAAAATTTAAAATCTCTCTTTTTTTCCTCTCTTGTCCTCATTTCTTGCAACCAGGCGACCTCTCATAGCTCGGCCATGTTGACCAGTGAGGGGGCACACGCCATGGAGGAGGACGACGACGCGCACCACGGAGCCAAGATGGCCTCCACCGCCACCACCAGCTCCGGCTCGGACCGACCGGAGACGGCGGCGGCAGACGTGCACATGGAGATGGAGGAGGCGGACATGACCCGATGGACGGAGGCAGAGTTCGAGGAGAAATGCACGTACATGGTCAAAGACACGGCGTGGGAGGCGGGGCCAGACGGAGACTCCGTGACGACAACCAGGGCCGAGGCATCGCTGCCCCGGAACCTGGCCTTCAAACACCCGGCTGACAGCAAGGAGGTCAGAATCAGAAACACACACACAACCCGACAGACACTCAGGCAGAGAAAGCCATCTGCTCAGAGCTCGTGAGTCAGATCCCGGTCATGTAATGGAGAGGGGTCGTGTCTCGCCATAAAACTACACGTACACATTACAGAGACGAATCTGTGTGTGTGAGTGAGTGGGTGTGTGAAACGCCTGGAGCAGGAGTTTACACACACACACACACTGTAAATATAGTTGTGTGAACACTGCGACTTCATCGGCTCGTATCCTTACATGCACTGATGACAGCTTTATCACAAGTGTGTGTGTGTGTGTGTTTCAAATCTCATAGACGTTGTGTCGTGTCATTAAACTAGCTGCAGTACCGTTGCCTGCTGGCAGGGAGCGCAGTTCAACATCTCAACAGACAAAACGCATCAAACGGCTTCTGTTTGCTGAGGTTAACGAGGTTATAATGTCAACTTTGACCCCTCAGATTATTCTTCTTTAAAGAATAATCTGATTCAGGTTGTCTAGAAACCCCGAAGGTTCAGGGAAGATCTTTTGGAAGCCAGACACATCAGCTGATGATAATCAATAACTGCAGGTGAAGACAAATCTGATCAACACGTCTCTTTTCCTCTGTAAATCTTTCTCAACTAACCAAATAGCAAACCTTGTGACTTTAAAGTATAACGTTTTAATTATTGATCGAGCTGGAGGTGAAAAAGTCAAAATGTCAAAGCGTCAAAGGTTGAAACTGAGGTTAGATAACGGTGAAGTATTGCACAGAACCAAAATGACTCTCTGGTAACGTGAACAAAAACAGAATGTTTAGCGACTGAAACTTAAGACAAGTAGCTGCAAATTTGTATTTTCCATCAGCGCCAATTATTAATTATTATCATGCTCGTTTCCAGGTTCATGGTTGTATTTGGGGTTTCTACTGAAACATGTTAACATGCTTTAATTCTCAGAAAAGTCTTTATTTCTCACATAGTGTCTGTGTGAACCCGTCCTGTTAAAGGCACAGTTTTAACGCTTTCACACTTGCTTTATAATTAAAAAAAGACAGATATCTCACTTTCTACAATATGGAACCCTTTAAATAACAACATCAGAACACAACTTTTTATAAGTGCTCAATTCAGAAAACAAATAAATGATCAAGAGCGTTAGAAAGCTTTGTCGTTTGCTGTCCATGACACAGATGTTAAGGTACAGATGTTAAGGTCTGCACACACAGCGGTGGATCTTTGCCGTGTTTGTCAAGGCAGTTGGAATCCGGGGAGACAAAAAGTGCATGACTGCAGGTCAAAGAGTCGGGAACTTTCGGCAATTTTGACACCTTGTGAGTTTGATCACATAGATTTTCTCGTCAGCGACTTATCAACGGGAAACTGAGGCAAGAACCTGAGAGAGAAGCTGATTTGCTGATCAGCTAATATTTATCTGAAGGGCGGGAGTTTGTCGCTCTGATGAAAGACAATTGTGTATTTGGGTCAAAGAAACATTTTAAAAGTATGTCAATAAGTTCAGGAAAAAAACAGGGAAAGAGGGGATTTCCCATTCCACTTTAGGGTTTTGGGAAAGACGTCTGTTTGCGTGGGTCATGCATGAAGACAATTTTGTGTGTGTGTGTGTGTGTGTGTGTGTGTGTGTGTGTGTTTGAACCCGATGTCTAGTCGCCACATAATCCCTTTCTTTTCTCTTCCTCCTCCTTCCATTTTTCTTTTGTTCTTTGATTGAATCAGACAAGAAACAAAAGTTTTCTTTTATCTGGATGTTTCTGAAGTGGCAGAGTTTTGTTTTGATGTGGCGACGAGTGGAGGTGCATCGAGAGATTTGAAAAGAGATTTTACAGTTTTTTTTCTGTAGCCACACACGCACGCACAAACACTCCGAGTGAACCGAAGTGTGAGGTTCATTAATTATCTCCATGTGTTGACAGCTGCTTGGTCATGTTTGTGCAAACAATAAGACTTAATCAGACTTAATGACACATACCACTGATGGATGTGCACGATGACGTAAAAAAAACACACACACACTTAAACACTCCGTAACTACGGCAAGTATAATCCTTGCATCTCAACAAGTTATAATCTGTCGTTTTTAAGATATTGAAAGGGAGTTGATGAGTAACATTTTTTGCACAACGTATTCAGGCTTGACACACACGCACAACAACACACTTCAAAGAACTGTCCGATCTTTTGTGTAACCCGTCTGTGTGTGTGTGTGCGTGTGTCTTTGCGTGCAGGTGGTCGGCGTA